TCACAGTAGTGTTCCCCCTTAATTTTAACTCAGCATTACCTCAAAGAGGGACAATGATAAAAATAATTCCAGAGAGCGCTTGAAGAACTTGACATCTAGAACAAAAGAAGAAGATAATTCCATCAAGTCTTTGGTAGTTTGCATTAAAATGCACAAGGACATTTTGAAGTGAGTTAATATATTAAATATTTATATGACACTTGAGTATAAATTTCTTTAAAGATTTTCAGAACTTATGGAAGAAAACTATACAAATTATTTCTTTATATTGCTTGATTTCATTTTATTCGGGCTCTCAGTTACAGGTTTTCAAGTTCGTATTTAAATAGTTGTAATTAATAGTTCTTGGTGCTAATGATTGTAAAAAAATTTTAAATTACAACTTTAGTTCGTCTTTTTGGCGACGAATATCGTATATAAATTCAAATGCATTTGGTACGTATTAGCCCAGGTGGTTCATCTGTATGCTCTGAGTTATCTTGGCCAAAAATTAATCGACTGCAGTGAAATCGTCAATGAGTCAATGTAATTATTTTGAAACATCTCTAAGAAAAAAAAAAAAAAAAAACATTAGTTTTAATTAAATTACTCACATTTTTTAACAGATGTATGTCTGAGAGGTACAATTATTCCAAAAAAAATGAAACTGCTGATTATTTTTGTACTTATGAGATGTAAAATAATATCGAAGATATCGACTGGAAAAATTTACACAATGTCAATTGAAAACTGTTCTTCCGTAATGAAAACATCATCAATATCTTTTTTCACCGTCTTATCATCTATCCAGTGATAGTTTTTTGTTAATTAGTTTTATACTAGCTGTTACTCGACCGCTTCGCTCAGCTGGGCGCTTTATAAAATTGCATTTTTAAACCTAGACTTGAAATTTTATCAGAGTATTGTTTTTACTTGCACAGATTCCCAATTCTATCGAATTGGCATATTGTCATGCACCTTTAATCCATGTAATTATTTTAGCTAATATTCATTGTAACTTTCAATGTGCAATAATTATAACATTCCCCTGTCTTTCTTACAAAAATGAACAATAAGCCAAAAGACCCCATTAGCGGCACCTTTAACCCCTATTAGTGGCACTTTTTCTTTCAATGAAAAAATTTTCTATTTGGAATAAAAATTAAAAATTTTTCTGATC